TGAGGAGAACTGAGGAACACGAGGTTCTCCTGATCTCATCAGGAAGATTTTCATTTTTGCAAAGAGGAAGATCTGTGCTGGCATCTAAGGGAGTGAGGCAAAAGGCTCCACCTTTAACCTGCCTCCACAGGTTGCAGTGGTCTGACCACAGGCCGGTCATGTTAAGGGGGTATTAGATGAGATGAAGATGATTATGGAAGATTTTGATTTATTTAATTAAAAGCTTAGGTCCTCTGCATTACAGCCTCCTTTCCTTCCCTTGTCCCACAACACAAGCAGTTTGGGAGTACTGTTAACCCTGGGTATCTAGAAACTACACGTCGAAAAAGTTACACATCTGCCCTCCCCAGACTCCTGTACCAGCACAGGTATCAGCCAAGTCTCCCTTTCTAATCCCTTTCCGCAACCTAACAATTGCCATCGCTTCGTTGGTTGTTTATTTCCAAAGAAGCCATCGTCTAAGTGCCAAACTCACTCACGCTCAGTGAAAGATTTTCGTTTCACCTTCCCCCCTCCACACATATATATTTATTCCCCCAGCACAGATGCACTCGCATATAGATATCAGTAATGGGACTCAGCTCTTCTCTGTATATTAAAGCCTCTTTCTTGAGTGGGATTAATCTTGGCAGCTGTCTGACAGGAGAGACTGTGTGGGAGGAAAATGGTTTTATCTAAAACTTGAAAGAAAGCAAAATAATCTTCGAGAGAACAAACTGTGTTTCAACTCTTGCTCCGCCAGTGGAAGACTATTTACTAACAGAAAATACGCAACAACAGCAAAAATACAAAAGTATTGCTCTGAAAGGTAACATAACGACTGTGAATTTTTTCTTTCCTTTTACTTATGTGGCCACTTTTCAAAACATTTATTAATAACACAGCTGAGTCTCTCCATAGGAGGCCAGAATCCAGAGTTAGTTTTGAAAATCAAAATGAACCAAATCCCATAGTTTTCTTTCAGCCATGGTGGAGCAGGAAAGGTCTCTGCTTCCCATCCTGTCTGATCTGAAAGTATCTGAAAGCAGAGACAGGAAACTAACAAACAAGACAGTATGAAGTATCTCAGTATTTCCGATTTACTTTTCCAGAGCAATCATTGTGATGAAACATACCACTGGTCCTCGTAATTAAAAACAAAGTTTTCTCTTACAGAAGCTGTATTTCCCCTTGCTCGCAGGGAAGTCTCCCTTGGAAAAGGTCATCTAGCTCTAAGGTTGCATTGATACCTGTGCTTGGGAGGCAGCATGCTTTGATGTCCACGTGGACACCCTGTTTCCTGTCTATCCTTGTGCTTCTCCATGTCCTCTTCAGCTCATGGGCTGGCTCCATGCCCAAGCCACTAACCTTTTTTCTGATTCTGGATTCTTGTTCCAGCCTGTCCCACGTATTCTCTCCTCACGTTCACGCTGATGTCCAGTCCCATCCTACCCTGGCTCCTCATTGGTTTTACGTCACTCGGGGGCCCTTGCCCACTGCTGTCACCCCGCTGTTCCCTCCTCCCAGCCGCCTGCATCCACGGGTCATGGCAAGGACTGCTTCCCTGTCTGCAGCTCCAGGGCAAAGTATGGCAGATATTTAAGTGAAGTTTCCCGAGGCAAACCAAGCCTAATTGCTGACCTTTTGGTCTGAGAATCTTCAGCTGAAACGATTAACAGACAAAGGCAGACGAAAATGCAATTTTGCATGGAGAATGCTGGATATCTTGCTGCTGTGTCTCATCTCATTAAAAATTCTAGTTTTAACATGTGAAAACATTAAAGGGGCTTTTTTCCCCACTCAAAATCTATTTGGCACATAATGGTAAAATAACAAAATACAAGCACACCTGGAAATCATGGAAATTTGCGACTGACGCAAAAGGGTTGTTTCTGAGGAAACCTCTCCTGGAAGGTTCTCTGTACCTCAGAAAATGTAATTTCAATAACTAAACAGTCTCCATTTGAAGTAATTCAACTCACTGTGGCATTTGCCATCCCGACAGCGAGGATCCCCGAGAGGGCTGCACTGACAGCAAAAGCCACGGTGCTTCATGCGTCTGCACCTTTTTCTTGAGCAGTTCAATAGCACAACACGCTACGTGACACTCTTACATATGCCTTCACCTGCCACCAGTGCTGCTTCAGGCTTCGGCAACGCCACTGTATTCCATAACGTCAGATCCATCGTATTTAAGGTTGTTCCTCAGAAAAAAGATTTAGTTCTTGCTGCATCTCCAGGAAGGCATCTTAACAATGCTCCGTACCCACCCCCTTGACAGTGATGATGTTTATCACTCAACCAGTATATGTTTAAAATATGTCCAAATTATTTTGGTAAAAACATACAGTAAATTTTACAGAACAAAGCTTTTTCGAGCATTTTAAAAGACATGCAGAGCATGAAAATGACGCAGTAACCTGTTTGCATACTGCTCTGCCATCTATCTCCCCAGACTCTTGAAAAACTGACATAGTTCCTCAAGGGACTTACTTGATTAGAGAACATTAATTAATTTGAGTGAACATCTGTGCTGTTTTTCAACTAATAATTAAGATTAGCTAGGAATTGTAATCTCCTTAAAAGCAAAAAGTATACAGAATAACTGCAGCCCACTTTGTCACAACATTTGGGTAGGGCTAAGCAACTACAGCATTTACCATAATGGTTCCTGAAAGATTTGTAAGGCCCTGTGGTAGAAGTTTGCTTCCTGGCTAGCCTGACAGCAGGAACATTTTATTCTTGGCTTCATGCATTAACATATTAACCATGACAGTGCTGACATTTGTTGCCAAGTAAAATTGAATGTAAATGGTCTAGAAAGCTGCCATTACATTTAGAAATTATTTTTGGAGTTTGAAATTAAGTACTGTCAACACAACTCATGTTTCCACTTATACGCAAGTATGACAGGAATTTTAATGACTTCTCCAAACTCCACATGTAATAGAAAGGGAGATGGAGATAAGAGTAATGATTTTAATTGCTCTCAAACTGCATTACAGAAAGCAACCTGCCTATACACTATAAGAAGAGCTCAAGGACTATCCAACAGGACAGAGTAAGTAGGAGGGCTAGATGAGAAAATGTCATTTTACATGTGCAAATGAAATGTTACTTCCATTCCCCAGTGTAACCCACAAGGTCAGGATACACCCAGGATCATCCTTTTCCTCACATGGGAGACATTCTTAGTTATTAAAACACAGAGCTGTATTCCCTGAGATCAAAAGAGGGAGCCACGGAGAGCTGAGCCATTGGTATGCAGCACCAGGAAGAAGTGGAGATTAACAGCAAAAATAAGATTTCATTGCACATGACAGAGAAGCCAACTAAGAGTCTAAAAATCACAAATATCAGATGACTGTGAAAGAGAACATCTCTGAACATGAAGGTGGATTCATTTAAGCTCTTCTTAATAGCACTGCAGACACTTAGTTTAGAGGTAGTCAGTGAAAGAGCCAGTCTGGAATTAGTATGGGAATGCTTAGCCATGTAATACTGAAGATGCAATGAGAATGGGTGGATTCATACAAATATCACAGATATTTGTAAAATTTTAAGAGGATTATAGAAATATTTGTTTCCAGTACAGACTCACCTGCTCAATAACTGTACTCAGTCACTTGTTTGCAACGTGCTCACTCAGTTGTATGCTTTTTCTGAAATGTCTTTTTAACAAGATTGGGTGTTTCAGGGAAATGAAAAACACCTTTCTCAGGACATTTGCTTAGTATCCACTAATTGTAGATGGTTTCTGAACCGTTTACTTTTTGATCCCTGCTTGGTAAGCAAAACAAGGAAGCCTGAGAATTTCAATTCAAGGTAGGTTGAATAGGTCTCTTCCTCACAGCCCCTCACCTGTACCTGGTACCAGCTTTAGAGAAGCGGGCCAGGAAGAGGTAACTTAGAGCACTGGAAGACCAGCAGCAGCCCCAGGGAACCTGCCTGCACTCAGCATCTCAGGATGAAGCGACAGGGGCAGGCAGTACTTGGAACCTGTGTGGTTCACTCCCATGGCTCCCAGCCACGGGAGTGACCAGCCATGTGCATCCCAGCTGGACCTGGGTGCAGAACCACTTGAAATTTCTGCAGAAGTAGGAAAATTAAGGTGGGAATTCATCAGATCTTGCTTGCTCTGGTGTCACACCAACAATTATTGCATTTAACCTATTTTTCTTTTCTTCCTACTCAGTTTTTCACAGGTGTTTCAATGCTATATAATACCTGGCAAAAAAATTCTACCTGGAATAAAACTGTCCCTCTTTTTTGCTCACAGCGCAGAGAGTTTAAAGCTTACTGAAGGATTAAAAAAATAATCTATTTGCTGTCATGATACTATTCCTCAGGCTTATCTACTTTCTTTGGGCAGTAAATACACCTGTGCTAGCTGACCTCGCTCCAGCCCAATATTACACGGGCACAAGAACTCTGAAGAAAAGAAAAATGAATTTGCAAGTGTCAGGTCATAGCCTTCTGCAAAACAAGCTTTTCCCTCCTATCTGAAGGGTTTGTGCTTCTGAAAGCCAAGCACACCTTTTGCAGACTGCGAGCAAGAGCCTCTAAGAAATACTGAAGTTTGACAGCATACACTCTCTTACACATCTGGGGTGTAAGTCCCATGTAACTGCAGAGGAAATGCCACCATTCACAGCACAAGGTATTGTGGGCTGGATGACTCACTGACCAGCAGGACACGTAGGGGACATGATTGGGATGTACCCTGGTCAGCCTCTCCCCACAGTACAGAGACAGAGTGCACTGACAAGTCCTGGAGACTATGGCACCACTGAGTATTACTGGAGACAGGATAAATCTCAGAGAATGCAAGACTATTATTTATAGTAGTGAAATAGTAGTTGTCTGGGAGGTGTGTGCATATACCAGTCATCAGGCTTGAAAGAAGCACAGGGAAAGAAACGTGGCCATAACTACACATTTGATCGTCACCCTGATCCCATGAAAAATAGTCTTTGTCACAAAGAAAACATGGTAGGTGCACATAACAATGGAACACTTACCCTGGAATCCTTTTCCAGATGAAGCTTGTGTTGAAGACTGCGTCTTCTCCTGGCCTTGGCAATACCATTGTGATAGAAGAAGTATCCAGTATCTAAAAAAGGGAGCTGAGGAAGAGAGAGAGAAAAAAACATCATGGAGCAATCGGCTACTAATAAAGATGACATGGAAAACTTCTACCTGTGAAGTGACTCAGGAATCTACAAGACGACTTCTGAAGAGTCACATCAAAGGGCCCAAATCACTCTTGAGAATGTCACTTCTAAGCAACTTTTGAACAGTGTGCCCAGCAGCATTAAAGTTATGTGCTACAGGTTCACAATGTGTAACTTCACTTGTATACACTTGGTACTATTTTCACCTTATGTTTAAGGTCAACGGTGCCAATATTTCTGAAGGGCTTCCCAAATCACATCAAGATTATTTCCTATTTCCTGAAAAAGCCAGACTAAAAGAACAAAATGAACTGCAAATGATTCGAAACTACCACAAACCATTCTTCAGCAATAAGGCGTTACACAAGTGCTTTTCTGAGCCATTATAACGCACCCGAGCTGATGCCACAAGCAGGAAGACTGAAAGCAGAGTGATTTCCACTCTCAGAAAAATACAGTATTTGGAATTTCTTCTGAACGCCAGGAAATGGAACATAAGAAGAATATTAAGAAAACAGACGGCTCACAGCATTGGGGTGGGAACAAGCTTTCCTAAGACGTTTGGGCAGCAAGCAAACACCTCCCGAAGGCTCTCCAGCCCCACCTAAGGCAGATGCCAGGGAAGGAAGATGCATGTCCGTCATTACATGCATCTCTCTCCGCAGGATCGGCAGAGAGTGACTGGAAGGCTAGCCGACGCTTAACTCGGAGAGGCTAAAAGACATTGTGCTAGAACAGCATCCCACCTCCAGCAGTCAATCAGAAAGGTCCTTTTGCATCTCATTCTACAGCTTTTTCCTCATTCTAATTTATTACAGAGATTCCAGTTGAATGTTTAAATCCAAGCAAGTAACTGTCTATTTTTTAACTAGACTTATTTTTGTCAAAGTTTAAAAAAAACGGCTCTTGGTGGGAGGCTACATGTTAATGCTGTGAACATTTTAACTTCAAAGGTTAGACCACACTGCATGCAAAATAACTACTTAAAAGAGATATTCCAGAACAGCCGTGACAGCTCTATTTCTCTCCTTTTTATCATCTATACTTCATGATAACGTAAACCTCTTCACAGGAGTTCAAAGTTTACTGAAAAACTGAGACTGACATCTGGACAGACTATTCATTGTGAAAACCTGGCCTGAATAAGGGTAGCAGGATCTCGCTGCCATAAAACAGATTCTGTGTCTGTATACAGGTACATAGAGTTCGCAAACATAGTTTTCCTTCTATGAAATTGTCTCCTGTTTTATTTAATCTGTCACTATATCCAGTGCAGTTCTGCAAATATATTTTGACGTACATGTGGAATGGAAAATTCACAGTGAATTCTGAAAGCGTAAAATGTGGTCACATTCCAAAAATGAATACATCAGGTTTGGGGATTTTTTTCTGAAAAGTTCTTTTTTATGTTAATTGAAGCATTTAATATCAATGAAATCAAAGCACTTCACTTTCACTTCTAAAATTCCATGGTATATGATACATAATACAGTAACACAAAGTAACTTAAAAAAAAAAAAATCAAACCATCCCATTCAGACAAAAAGACCTCCTTTTAGGTGTACATAAAAGGTTAAGGAGATTTTCTCAAAAATATTATGGTCCTTTGGAGCTGATTTTTGGGGCTGGCTGGTGAGCTTTTCTAGGTAGATAATCAGAATGTTTTGCACAGGCTCCATACATGTATGAAGAACACAACAGCTGAGGCATAAGGAGAAATGAGGCTATGAAAGCTCACGACAGCGGTCACAGTCTCCTACGCTTCACATCCATCCTCAGAACCGCAGCTCTTAAGCCTCAAATTCTGTCTAGGTTTAGGTTATTTTTTAAAAAGCAGATTTATGTTTAAAGAGTCTAAACCTGACATCTTCACCAACTGGGTAATAAGGTATTTCCACAACATAAGAGTTTGGCAATAGATCTGACTGTCCAGGAAACAGCCTTTCCCCCATATCAGATACATTACTCTATGCCTCAAAAATGTGCAGGGGAAAAAAAAAATAAATCTAAACAGCCAGGTCAGTTACAGCTTGAAATCCATCTCGCTGTGCTAACCATTACCATCCATCGCAAGCTGTGGTCCAATTACCCCTCTAATTCTCTCAGTGAAATCAGGCTATTTTCCTTCTTTTTATCTCAGTATCAACCGTTCAAATCAATTCCAGTCAAATATTGATCTTGATGTTCTCCCATTAAGGAAGACTCAGCAATTTTGAGGATACCTGGAAGCATACAACACATATTCACTGTTCGTTTTCTGAGTAGGGTTAGTTTCTAGTGCCACTTAGAATGAAGTAATATATTATATAGCAAACTTTTAAAGCTGGTGTATTCAAGTCTGACCATAAGCAAAAGCAATTACAGTTAGTATAACAATAGCCAGATTTATGGACAAAATCATGAATAAGCTTGACCGAGGCTATTTCTCTTTCCTCAGATATCCCAGTAATCTCAGAGGAACTCAGGTATTTTACAGTTTCCATGGTTTTCACACTCGTTCAATGAAACTGGGGAGGACAGACAGAAAGGCAGCTAAGTGAGGCAATACCTGAAATATGACATGATCAAACTTCATGGATCATGACTAATTCATACCAGAAACCAAGCAATTTGCAGGAAGAATCTAAACTCTTCAGTAAATCTTTAAAATTACTGAATGTACACCCAGGAGAAGTCAGACACCAGCAAAGGGCCTAAAACTTGGGACGCTTTGAGAAGGACTTTGCGTCGAGATCTGTGAATACCGCGAGCAACTCCTGAAGTGCTCTGGTTTTGATGAACTCCTGCTACTGAGTCAGTAACGCCTCTGCAGCGACCGAACGGCAGGAC